CTCTGTGATTATTTGGGTCAGGATAACTGTGTCATATTAAAGATAAAGCTCTCCTGGAAACTTTTCCCACATTCAGACTACAGGAGTGATTCTTGGTGCCCATGCAAGCAGGAAGACAACCATGCTCTGGGGTTCACACAACTGATACCTTGGTGCAAAAAGGCTCAAGGAAACCTTCCTGTGAGCAATTCTTGTAATCTGACCAACTGTCCTTCTAGCATTGTTAAATATGTACAAGGACTCAGTTATAGGAGGATTTTGTTAAATTGTTCTTTTTCAACAGTTGTCATAGCAAAATGCTTTAAGTAGGCAGCTACCACCACTTTTACTAAAATGATATTCACAATTTGAAAGGATTCATGAAAATATACTCATTTTATACTGTTTAATACAAGGACATTTGCTCTCACAAGGACAGCAAGGAGATATTCTTCAAAAGTAGCTGATAAAGCTAGTAAAAAATTGCAGAAAGCTTTCCATGGAAAGAAAATATCTCTGTCCCCTCCATCCCCCCTTTTCTTTTTGGACTTTTAGTCTTTCAGTTAAAAGATTTCTATGACAAAAACATTGATAAAGAGGAGGGCAAGGGGGATCTTGGCAAAAGAATTGTCACCTGAGTTTTTCCTTAGCTCAAATAAGTTTTCTTTTCCCAACAGAGGATAAAGGAATTGTACAGACTTATTGTAAATACAAGAAACTCCTAAGAATAGGAAAGTGTAGGTCATTCCCTAAGGGCAAATTTGATGAATTGCAGCCTAGACATCCAAGAGAAGTCATGGAAGCCGCACCACTTGAGAAGCCAGTACAAAGAGCCATCCTGTGCTGGTAAAAGAAATGGGTAAGGTAACCTAGTAGTTCAATCCAGGATCTTATTTCTAAGTTTCTGTGACTCCTTATAACCTGTAGGACAAATAAAATGCTGTGAATGCAGTGCCAAAAGAAAAAGGGCAGGGGATCCTGCTGTACTTACCCATGTTAAGCTGTAGTTATTCCATACTTAGGAGGGGAAAGCTACCCTCTGAGTAACAAAAGCATAGCTTGGTCCAAGTTAGGATCAAGTTAAGACTTGCATTAATGAATTTCAGAACGTTGTAAGCCATATAAGCTAATAAATGAAAAATGCCTGAGAGATGAATATGGCCTTGAAAAACAGTAAATAAACAAGAAGAACAATTCCACAGCTGGTATGTGAACTCCATACATTTCAAGAAAGAGTCTACAGACCATGGCTTTATGTTAGACATTGAAAAAAAAAAGATTTTCTGTGAGCAATTCATACACAATTCTTAGCAGTTGCAAAGAAAATAAAAGACACACAAGCACCGACATTGAGAACAAACTACATTTCCACAGCACAACTTCACTTTTCAAAATAATCAGGTGTTAGATGTTCTTGGAATTTTAATTTAGGTATTTTATTAGCTGCTGTGATAATTAACTGTTGTCTCATTGCTAGCAGGTAGGAAATATTTTATGGAAAAGCTGTCTTACAGCATTCCACTTAAAATACTTACTTTCCAATCTATTGCTTACGGTGCTGAGACTGGAAAAGAGGAGGAGGTTGGTAAAACTGGGCTTGCCTGTTGCTCCACACAGCACTGATGTAGGTTGTTTCTTTTTCTTGGTACCTAGAAACAGCATTCCTGTCACTGCAACTCTGTAATGTGCTCCCCAAATACCTTCTCTCAAGATACCTTTATATCCTCACTCCAGTACACACCTGACTCTGCAGATAAGGGCCATCACATCCCACCACTATCGTTGCAAACTTGTATACTTTTCCTACAAGCTAATGCTAGTTTTAGATTCCTTGCTTAACTGCTTTATATACTGATCTACCTACTGATCTGGTCAGGGATTTTGTCCTTTTCTGTCTAAGTCCAGATGTTTCTAAAGCATCACTGTACACATATAAATGGGAATCTCTGATATACATTGGTATAGAGAGCACTTGAGGACTCTTCTGACTGGTTCTACCCTTAAGTAAGTTGCATTATATCATCTGGAAAAGGTGGTAATTCATCCAAAAGAGCTGCAAGACACCAAAAAATTGCCTCTTCCAGTACCTATATTTAATTTTTCAAGAGTTGCCAAACCAGCCTGCTAAGGGAAAAAGGCACCAGAGCTTTCAGCACTGTAAACGGTAGGTAGGAAAGTGAGGATGTTTAGCAAACAGTTTTCCCATACAATCTCCGAGTATGTTCAGCTTATGCATATATTTACTTTAGAGTGCACTGCATGTGCGCTCAGTTCACGAATAGCAGGATGCCTCCTGGTAGGGATGGAGAGGGTAACAAAGAGGTAGCAGACACAGGTGATGGCACAGATGTCTCTTTGTGCCGCCGGCCGGTACTTACACTTCAGCCAGCGGGCCCCGGCGTGGGTGTCCTTGTCCCGGATCAGCCTCCTCTGCGTGCAGCTCCTGCAAAGGTACCACAACATCCACAGCAGCTGGATGAGCATCAGCGTGATTAGGTAGGAGAGCAGGTGGCTCTTGCTGATGCCCACGGCGTGCACAGCCCAGGCGAAGGTGAGCAGCAGCCCGGCCAGGAAGAGGTTGATGCCATACTGGCTGCTGAGGATCTCGGCGTTTTTCTGCGGGTAGCTGCCGCCCACCGCGGGGAAACCGGCGGCTTTCTCCATCTCCCACGCCGCTGGCCAGGTGCTGCAAGCAGGCGGCCGCGCTTCCCCCGGGAGCCCCGAGGCTGGCCCGTCCCCCATCCCGGCCGGGGGCGGAGCGGGGCCGTGGCCCTGGCCGTGCCTGCCCGCGGGCGGGGACCGCCGGGGGTCCCTTCCCGGGGCCGAGCCCCAGGACCCCGATGGGAAGGGAGGCCGCCGGGGGTGGGGGGGAAAGGATGCTGACGTGTTTGCGGGACAGCGTTGCCTGAGACTCAGACAACAGCTGATGTCGAGACCAGGGTAAGGGAGAAGGTTAGTCCGGAGGCAGCCGGTCGTGTCCCTCGTGAAGGGGCAGGTGAGCCCTGCCCGGCTGGCTTTGGTGAGGGATATGGAGCTTCCGTCCGTTTTGACAGAGACCTGTGCAGTGTAACACGTTTCCTAGACAGGGAGATGGGAAAGACAGTGAGCGTTGCACAAAACCCCCTGACCATTAGCAGCTGTGATTGGAAAGCCGAGGAACAGCCAACGTGTGGAAGGAAGATGCTGGGGGAAAGCAAGGACAGGTGGATGGAACCTGCTCTGCAGCCAACAGCTGGTGATGGAGTTCCTTTGCATGGAGGTGGCAACGGGATCACCCACCATGCTTCACACTCTGGGCCCCACAGGTCCCCTACTTTTGGGCAACCAGTACTTCCATCAGTAGTACAGAATCTCCATTTTCAGGAATTGTCTAGACCTTTCAAAAGCAGCAATTTGCCTTATTTTTTTAGGAAGTCTATTCCGACAACACAGTATTATAGCAATTGCTAGCTGGAGAAGCAACTACTGAGCACAAAGTAGCAAAAACTTCTGCAGAATTTACTCCACTTCTTATTTATTCATTTTCCCAGTATTTATACACATTTTAAGTATTGACCCTTTTCTACTTAAACTGCCTAGTTCTAACTGTGACCCATGGTCACAAGCTATTTAGGTATGCAAACCTCAAGATTTGGAGCACCAGTTGATTGCCTGTAGGGGTTGAGAGGAATTTAGCCCAGGGTGAACCATTATTCTTTTTAAACTATATTTTGTTTGCATACAATATGAATTCTCATAACTCTAGGGTTTTGGGTACTGAGACATTGCTTGGAGGCCAAATACCAAGATAGACTGGTCCTTGTTCTGGCCAGGCAGGTCTTACATATTTACTGTGTACCTGTTGGTAGCATATTGATTACCCAAAGTATTGGTTTTTACAGAGAGTGACCCACCCACATCTCACGTGAAATTAAGCCACTAGTTCAGTTACATCAAAAAAAAAATTGGATATATTGAAAATACAGCATTTATTTTCTCCACTTCCTCGGCCAAAACTTAGAGTGGTTTTTCTCTTTTGAAGCCAGAAATTATTAAAGAGGGTTTTTTCTTAAATAACAAAGGACACCTTGAACTTACATGTAAATGTCTGGGATTCTCATTCCTCTTAAAGAATAGGGAAGAAAAACAAAATGGCAGAAGGGTGGAATGAGTGAATTCTGGACAATCACCTTATGTTTAGGTAAACATAAGGAAGTAGTAGCTCATGTCCTTTATTCATTTTGGCCTGTTCTCAAGAAACAAGTATTTTAAGCCATCTGCAAATTTTCCCTTTGAAGAATGCACTTAACTGGAAGCCCTATGTTTCTGTCAAGTCTGTAACAGCAGTATAAATAAAAAGCATAAATAATCAAACTGCTCAGGCTTCAACAGCTTCTAGCTCATAGCTACATCCATCATTCTCAAAAGCTTGTGGAAATACCAAATCCTACTTTTACCTTATGCAATGCAACCTTTAAAGAATAATTAAGAAAGATGCTTCCATTTTAAAGAGCTTTTGTGGGTAACTGTGATAAATAATCTTCACTATGTGGACTATTTTACTTCAAGATTATCCAAGACCATCCCTTGTCACCTGTAAACTAAAGCTTTTTGGTGCTGATACATATTCTCATACCTAAATGAAATTAATGTAAATGGATACAGAAGATACCTATGGTGGTCTGTAGCAAGAGGGTACATTCAAGCTCTGGTAGGGGTGGGGGTTTTGATTGCCTGATAGTTTTTTTTCAGGGAACTATTAAGACTTTGCAGGACTTTTTTACAATGAAATATCTATCCAGGATTCGCAGAAAAAGACATCAAAGTAGTCAGAGAGCAAACAGCTCTCCAGAGATGAACAGAATGATATTACACCTTCAATAAACACAGTGAGGGGTCATGAAAGACAAAGATACTCCAAGTCAAGTACAGTATTTAAAATCTACATGAACATCCATTTTATAGGAAAAATGATGGGATGCACTCCAAATCTCCAAGAAAGTGGAATTAGACAGTTAAATAATTACGTATTGAACAATAACTGATCACTTTCGTACAAAGTTTATTAAGATGTCCAGAAGAATAAATTTGAAAAACCATGTAGCAAATAGTAATTTTAATTCAAGATTACAAGGCAACTTAAAACACCTAGAGCATTTATATAGTTGACAAATAAAATACAGTGATAATTACCATCCCTGAGTAACACTGCATTTTAAATATCATAATAAACAAAGTTACTCAAATGTACCTATGGATGCAGACATAAAATAGTTAAAATTAATTAAAAGATGGACACCTGAAGATAAGCAATTTGCTCTTTAAGGATGTGAAGCACAACTGGTTTTGGCAAACCTAAATATTACATTTCAACAAATCAAGCTGTTAACTTACTCTACAAATTACTAAAAGCAGTGCTGAATGTATTTTATTTTGGTTTGACTGATCTTTTTTATCACATACCAATAGCAACTTTTTTCCTTAATGGAACAGTAACAGCCAAAGACAATGTCTACCTTTTTCATGTAAACTAAACATTTCACATATTTTGTATTCAGCAATGCTGTGAATTTGAAAGTCAGAATGAAGAACACAGTATCCTGTGACAGTCCAGACTTCAAGCAACAGCCACAAGGCGTAAATTTTAACAAGTTTCCACACCCAGCTTCTACATTCTCCTATTTTCCAAAAGCTGTGGGTGGGAAAGTATTTAACACAAGGATCTACAAAGAGTGGTCTAGCAACTGGATGGTGCCCAGGTCTCCAGACAGCCAAGTATCTCAGTCAACACGAACAGTCACCTAATAAAAATAAAATGCTATTTTATTTTCCCAACTGAGTATGACCAATAGCTTTTAAGTTAATATCAGCCTCTTCGTTGGTGAGGAAGGAAAATGGCAACTTCATTAACAGGCACTGCTAAGAATCAAAAGTTAATTTACAGAAAGAAAAACATCCTGAATACTGAAAAATAGTGCGTACATCAAAAGAATGTAATTTGTTCTCTGAATTTCTTGTGTACTGTTAATAGTGTTCATTATATTGCTGGTTAGTCACAGCTTGATCATCCACCTTTGGCTGTGGACAAACTGTATCAGCACAAGTAGAATTTATTTATTTAATTGATGGCCCTGCCAAATGTCAACCAGCTTTCTAGGCCCCTATCCATACTTTTTTCCAAACCACTAGCAGATCTGAATTCAAGAGATTATGTAATATTTCCTACATGGTAACAAATATAACATTAGAAATGTAATAGATCAAGAAATGCCTCCTATAAGTAAGTTTATAAGTACAAACACAGGTTCCAGATAACAGTATTTTAGCTGTCAATTCAAATGGAAAGAATATAGTATTAAAACTCCATTACACTTCAATTAAACATCAATTACTTCCAAGTCAAACAACATGATTTGAGCAGGAAGTTGACTAGGTGACATCTGAGGTCCCCAGAGATAACTAAGGTCCCTTTCAACACCAACTATTCTATGTTTCCATGACTTATTACCCATGTGCTTAATATTAAAACATAAACAGAAGCTTTACAAAGCAGCAATGAAATGCTTTATGTTACCAAGAGATGTAAAACCTATCTATCTTTCAATTATTCACTATTCCGTTTCTTTTTCCTACAGTTATGTCCACTGATTTATAAATCAGGTAGATTAAGAATTACTGTATCAGTTAGAGCAAAAAGGCAGTATTAGAAACAATAAAAGTACTGGAATGTAACAAAAGTGACATCCACTTTGCAGGATAACAGTTACTTGAGTCCTTCACATGAAGCTGAAAGAGAAGAAAAAACGAACACAATTTAACAAAAATGTTGGAAGACTGTATATATACTGCACAAGCTGTACCTTGTACTAACTCTATAAGTTAATGATTTTGCAACACCAAGTAATAACTTAGCCCTAATTATTAGGCAAAGAATCTTTGCCCTAATATAGAACTTCCCCACATCCTTCCAGTGCTCAGACAGAACATAGCTAATGACAGAACTAACAAACATAATTTGAATAAGTTTGCGTCAGTAAGTGTGACTGAAGCTCTCACAGTAAAGAGACTCTGAATTAAGTATTGTATTTTTCAGAAGTATATAGGTGTTGTCAGAATAAGGCCTAAGTTAATTGACTCCTGAAAAAACTCAGGTTTCTTGGTATCTAGAAAATAGGAGGAAAAATGCAACACTAGTTTCAGTTTGTTTATGTAAAAAAAAAAAAAAAAAAATCTGCATTTCACTGTCCAAGCCACTAAAACATGTTTTGCCTACAACTCTGGCACTACAGTGATGTAAATCCAGCACTGTCATATTCTTCTTACTGCACTCATAAAACTGCTGAGGGACTTCCTCACCAAAAAGGATTTGTGATGGCAAGCAAAGCTAAACAGCTCCCCCACATTCTCTTAAGAACAACAAAGAAGAGTAACTTCCCTGGATGACGTAGACACCTGTGACATCCCTGACCCTATTTACTGAGCTCTCTTTGATGTCTTCCTTAGCTTTTTCCATTTCACAGGATTCATTTGATAAATATATCCTAACAAAAGATGTGGGAACCCATTTTCAATGTAGCAGTTATTGAAAATTAATTTTTCAAGTCAACAAAACAGACGGTTTTGCCTTTGAAAAGTTTTTTTAGGAATAACAAAGAACTTCTCGTATCTGGCAGTTTTCCAGACAAGCAGGTTGATCTGTACTGTTCATCACAGCAAATGAAAACAACATACCTAAAGACAAAGGTAAGGCAAAGCTTTTGAATTAAAAAAAAAATAGAGAAGGCAGTTGCATATAGATGTTAATAGCTTCTCCCCTTTAGTCAGATCAAGCAGCTTTGCTAAGAAGTTTTCCCAGTCCAGGTAAAAGCTGCAGGTATTTGACCTATATGTCTCCAAACCATCCATTCTCACTAATCACTTCTTTTCACTGTCTAGAATGAAATCTTAGAGAGGAAAAAAGGATATCTTCCCCTTCGGATAATTGCATGTTCTCTGGTTATTCTATATGCCACAAAATGTCAATATTGTAGAAGTGTAGACAAAACATAGAGAAAGAATCTTTAAATGGTCTTACAATCTTTAAATGTCTAACAAAGCAGTTCACACAACAAGATACATGCTTTTGTGTGCTTAAAAAATTAAATTATTTACCTGAATGGCTTATCCCAGGAGTGATACAAGCATCACAACACCCATAAACTGAATGAAGAGCAACAAAGGTGTCAAAAACGACCAGACAGGCCACAAGGCAACATTGAAACTGGGAATAAAAGCAGGAAGTATTTGGTAAGTTCAGTTGCCATACTATGGAAATACCAGGCATACAAAGAAAACTTCACAAGAGGAAATGAGATTTAAATTACTTAACCTGGAAAAATACTTGCTTCTTTATGAAAACAAAATTAAAACACTCCAGCATTACTTATTAAATTGGTATCTTAGTTTACTGTTTACTGAATGACAACTCATCCTAGAACTTCAGCAGCTGCTGCAGGTTTTGCACTGAGCAAGTCCAGTCAGTCCCATCAAGGGTAAAGATACGTTTTACTTTCAGAATCTCTGTACCTGAAGCCCCTGGAAATGACCTACTCTTTGATTTTTCCATGGGCACGTGGCAGCTGAGAAAAGCCTTAATCTGAACTTCCAGCCAGCCAGATTTCAGTTAACTGAAGAGACAGGGGGAAAAACAACTTATTTTACAACTGAATTACAATAATTATAGGTTTGACTAATTCTAAACTATAGAGATCCTTTATTTTCTTCAATCTTCCTTTTTTTCCCGCCGTTGCAACAAATACTGACTTTCAGATACAACAGCTAAACAAGAGGAAACCAGCTTTCATGCAGAGAGCAAATATAATGGCACACACACATATAATTTTTTTCACTCATATGCACATTTGCTCAATCCTGACTCGTATAATCTCATAAATAAAGTGTCTGACAACATTTTGTGTATGTTTGCTACTTATAGATTATTTGATAATGAAGAACTCTGACAGAAACTGATCAGGTTTTTTCTCAGCTAGGGAATACACCTTTGCCTTAATTTGTAAACTGCACAAATAGTTGCCAAAGGTGATAAATTTACAAAGCTAAGGACTTCAGTGTTCCCATACATTTTCAAGACAGAAAAGATCTCGTATACCTGCAAGTACATTTAATATACAATTTCAACTGTTCCAACTCTTGCTTTGTGGATGAAAGTTGAAACTGGAAGAAATTATGCTATGCAGAACTAGTATTGTGACCAATACACATAGTAGAATTACAGAAATTATACTTATAAAATGAGCCCATTAACACACAGACTTGCACAGGTTTAGCAGAAGTTTGTACAGCGTTTGAACTCACCAAATTGCTGCTGCTATAAAGGTAGCTGTTGTGATAGGTATCAATGCTGGATACTGTGCATCATAGTCCACAATTCCACAGTACCACTCAAGATACAGGATGCAGTAAAAGGCAACAGATAAACACACAGCCATCAAACAAGTGCCACTGGCAAGCCACCAACTGCAGGAAGGAAAGCATATTAAACCATGTTAAGCAGAGTCACATTGTAGTTGGCACGTTAATCTTCACTCTAGTCTAGAAACAGAACAGACAATATCTGTTAATTACACAGATTATGGCCTAGAGTTCCTGTAGTTTTTATCTTAAATTATTTTTACAAAACACTTTTTGCCCTTCAAAGCTGTCTAATATACATAACTGAGTTTAATTTTGAGATGCAGCATTTCATTCATTTTTCCCTCAAGCATCCTGGAAATCAATGCAACAGATCTTGTCAGGGATCTACTATGCTACCACACCAAAACTACTTTGTCAGTAATGAAACAAAAGAGGCTTCACTGCAACTGTGCTTCTCACTGTAACTTTTTGTGCAACAGAAATTTGCAGAAAGCTTTAATGAGATTTCAGTTTGTGAACTCTCAAATTTCACAGACAAGAAGCATTAAGATTTTTGTTTACAGATGCTGAAGAAAACCAGAGAGAAATCCAGGACTTCAAACTCAGATTCAAGAAAACACAGGGTATGTGATTTGATTATTTAGGAAGACACACTTTTGAGTCTCTTTGAGGACATACTTCAAGACTAGAATGGGAAAGACAATTTGTGAGGAAGGTGCACTTGAATAAAATCTTACACTTATTTGAATGCGTATTTAGCAAATAAAAATTTTAAAAAGCAAATTCTTATTGCAATTGTTTGATTACTAAGTTACAAAGGGTAATCAATGATCTTCCTACTCAGGTAACATTTGTTCTGGAATGGTACAGCAAAATATCAGGGGTTATTTTGGTACCTTGGTACTACCAATTGTGAATTCTGCATTAAGAGAGCAGTTGCCATAGTCTACTTACACAAGCAGTGCAGGAAGACAGGGTCCTGACACCCAAAATTTTGATTACATCCTGGAGTCACTAGCTTGTTTTCACAGCCAACTGGATGAAGGGTGTATCTAGCCTGGAAGAGCAGCTCCAGAGAACCTCACAGCCCAGAGCAAGGCCCTGTGCAGCTTCCACATGCTGATACAATAATGACAATGGCAATGGGAGTTTTAAAAGCACTTCCAGCTGAGGGTATCTAAAAATATTTGACACCCATCAATCTGACTGAAATTAATTTAATGGAAAATAAATAGATTAGAAATAGAAATTGCTTCAGAGAAATTATTTTACTCATTTTTCACTGACCTACTCAAAGAGGCCTAGAGAACTTCTAGAGAAACGAACTTCAGTTTGACATTTAAAGATTAATTTCAGTGGGGTTTTATTAAAATAAAAGCAAAACTACAACACTTTCAACAAAAGAGGCAGCTATTCTTGTACTTAAGTGAAAACTTGAAGGTACAGTAATAAAATGCCTGCTATCAGAACAAAGTTTACATGTACATAGATGGCTCAGTAGTCCACAGAAAAGAAATAATTATAGCAAAATTTTAAGCACTGTATTTACTTAAAAATTAGTTTAATAATATCAACTTAGGTGGTCATCTGGTTCAACCTCGCTGCTCAAGCAAGGTCAGCTACTGCCAGTTGTCCAGGACCATGTCCAGATGGTTTTTGAGTATATCCAAGGATGGAGACTCCACAACCTATCTGGGCAACCTACACCAGTGCTCAGTCACTCTCACAATCATAAAGTGCTTCCTGATGTCCAGAGGCAACCTCCCATGTTTCATTTTGTGCCCACTGCCTCTGGTCCTGTCACTGACCACCACTGAAAAGAGTCTGCCTCTGTCTTCTCAGCACCCTCCCCTCAGGTATTTGCATTGACAAGATGCCTCTGAGCCTTCTCCAAGTTGAACAGTCCCAGCTCTCTCTATTCCTATTGTAGATCTTGTTTATCCAAGATTTAAAATATAGTGTTCAGATGTAACAAAACTGAATATGATTGTAAGATGAAAACACAACTTTCTTTGTAAAAAAAGATACCTTACCTATCTGCTTGCATAGTTTCTTTAACAGTTTTAAAAAAATCAAAGTAGTATGTCACAGCTATTGATGCCAAAATCCAGAATGCAGAATGAATATTGAGTCTGGTAGGAGGCTTCATCTTCTTCTCTACAGCTGTAGACTCTTCTGTAAATAAGAACATAATTATAGCACTAAAGCCAGTCATTAAATGGAGTATGATTATAGTTATGTAAAACATGATGCTTTATCTTTTTAATTCATTTATCTTTGGAGATTATAATACACTTTGTACTATAAATATTCTAAAAAGCTCTGAACGTTTACTGAAATAAAACTGACTAAGCAAGGTATCCTGTGATAAAAGGATAAAACACCAACAATCAACACAATATCATGTCTGTGTACACTTTCAGGAAACAGCTGACTAGATTTTGTATGGGTTGTGTAACTAATTAAAGCCTCCTGGCATTATCAAAGCATTTTTATTAATCTAGCATATAGAATGTCAGGCTGGTATTTCCAATTACTAATTTATTTATACCCTTTTTAATGAATTTTGTATTTGTAAGTATTTCAGGCAGAAATAATTTTCTTGTTCTTAACTGCAGTTAATTCACCAGAGATTTTCAGCTCCAGTTTCAGGAGCTAGCTTGACTCACGCTGCACACCTTCAGCAGGTGAAGTAGAACTATCATTGTGCAGAAAAGTATCTTCTCCTTTCCCTTTCATCACTATACGTTTAGAAGAAGCAAGATAACAGAACAAGCAGATGAGAAAGTCTTTTTTAAAGCACGACAGTAACCAAGTATTTAGGCACTCAGTATTTATACAAAATGTCAAAAAAAGGTGTCAGAGGTGCTTTTGATGTCTCATACTCTGAACTTTATCACCAGGAGTAGCCTGGTGCCTCCAGCAGTGTCATGTATTCCAGCTCCTCCACAGCCGAGCGCTCCGACAGCTCCGCTGGAGCTCACGGGCGGTTTTATTTTTCATTTCCCAGATTTCTCCTCACACTACTAGAGCTTGGGCCCGGGAGAATTTAAGCACTTCATCCGCATCAAGCAATCCGCGGCTGTAAGTCGCGTCTCCCTTCCACATCCAGCTCGCTGTCAGGAGCAGACACCTGAGGGCGGAGGAGCTGCGGGCAGGCGGGCACCGCGCCGCTCCATCCGAGGGGCCCCCGTTCCTGCCGCAGCGCCCGCCCGGCAGCGCCCGGCCCCGCTCTCCGCACCCCGGCACCACCCACCGGCCGTCCCGCCGGTCCCGGGACGCGGCTGCGGCGGCCGCGGGTCGCAGGGCTCCGGCCCGCGCCGCACCGGGCGCCGGAGCCTCGGGAGAGCGTCCCCGTCCCCGCCGCCACCGCCGGGCTCCATCTTGGGCCGCTCCGGCAGTGACGCGGCGGGGCGGGAGCGGCGGCCGCGACGGCCCTGGCGTGAGGGGCGGCGGCGGGCACAGGGCGCCTCTGCCCGGCTCACGGCCCGCGGGCGTGTCACAAATAAACAGCCTCAGGGATCGCTCTAGTCCCCACTGAAAACAGTGAACAGCGTCACGTAAAGCCAAGTGCCGCAGTGACGGCTGTTATGTCAAAAATTATTAAGAAAATTATTAAGAAAACTAGTGGGAAAAACAGTGCGTAGAAGTGTTTGGCTCGTCGCACCTTGGCAACCAGGTGCTCCTGAGGGCAGATGTTAGGAAAATCTCTATTTTTGTGACAGAGAACAATAGTAAAGGTGGAACATGAGGCAAATACAAAGCTCTGAGGGGTTTCGAGAGCCACAAGGTTTCCTGTAGCACTCGGGACTGCAGCTCATAACTGGAAATAAGTAACATATTTGCATGACAAACTAGGTTAAAAGTTAAATAACCTAGTAAAATGGTAAAATAGGTTGTTTCGGTTCTGCAGCTGAGTTCTGCATGGCTAGATAAAAAGTCACATCACCATGTTTCTGCAAACAAAACCTTGAGACCTATTAGATTATCATGGCTTTCTTGTTTATTCACGAACAATTTATGGACAGACTCAAAACTACTAAATTATGTTGACTGATTAATTTAAGGTCTGGTCCTTATCAGAATACTGTGAATATAAGTACTGTATCTTTTGGGGTGTGTTCAATGATTAAACCATTAAGCCATGGCTTATAAAATTGAAATTTGTTTCTAATAGTAATGATTCACCAGGCTGCTTAGATGATACATGTGGTTACAAATTCTGGGCTTTCTTAGACAAAATTGTGTGGTGTAATGTTCCAACTAACACAAAGATCCCGCTGACTTCAGAGTGGACGTACCTGTGCAATATGGCAGTTGTTATGGATAGCTTTTCTTTCCAGTGGAATTAAATGTAGAAATATTCAATAAAAGCTCAGATTATTATAAAGTAGATTGAAGAAAAAAAATTCTTTGCATACCAGGAGAAAAAGTTTGCAGATACTTCCTCTGTAGTTTCATGATGAGAAAGCAGGAAACTCAAAAAGAATGGAATGTAGACTGTGGTTAAATAGTTATGTATTTTATCAGTAAACTTTAAAAAATATTAGGCCGTCCTAAGGGTAGAGACTAACTGGTAGAAACTAACTAGGCTAAAAACTAAACTTGCTCTGGCCTGCACTGCTCTTAAGCAGTTCTAAACCTGCTGGATAACTATATTTTTCCTAAATATCCTGTTGTCTGCTTTATAGACGAGTGAGGTTCTAGGGACAAGGGAAACAAGGTTTCTGGTTTCTTTATTACTGTGTGTTGAGTTTGAGTAAATTCAGCCGAAAAGATTAAAGAACAGAAAAGAATTTTTTTTTTTCTCTGCATAAAGTCAGGCTTTCATTTACATCTGAATTTCATGTGAGACGTGTCATAGTAAGTAGAAACTGTTTTCCCAGCCTTACAATATATGTCACATAAGGGCCAACCACATCATAGTCCTCAGTGACTACAGGGATTATTTTTTAATTAGTCCAGTTCAATATTTTGAAGTTAACAGCTCGTGGGAGCTCAGAGCTCTGCTTTCTTAGCAATGAAATAGAGGTTTCTTTGTTTTATTTCCTTTGAGTGGAATTACTACCTCAGCCTTCACTTTCATCTTAGTGATTCAAATAAGAAACAAAGGAAATCATGCTCTTTCTTTGCAAAAGCTATTCATAGGATATATCTTTGATTTAATCATAGCAACTAAATAAATATGTATGCTTGAAAAGATTAAGATCTGTTAGAGTTGTTAAACTGACCACTTCTGTTTACCTACAGACTAGGTATTGTGCAAAGAGCTGAAATAAGAGCTTCCCTTCCCAGACTCACTATTGACCTTAACTGAGACCGCTCATGTTCAGTGTTTGTAGAGCTAAGATGTTTCCTGTGATCTTTTCGCAGCGCTTCTCTGATTCAGAAATTATTAATCTGCTAAAGAGTAGATAGAGATCAGGAGCTGAACTGAGACAAAATGAACAACGTAATTAATGAAGCATCTAATCAACGGGCCCATTGTGGATAATTAATTCTTGCAAGTTAACGTTTAAGAATCCTTGCAGAAATGTTAGGAAGTATTTTAAAATGTGGTGCTCGATTCGATAAATTTAGTTAACAGTCTGTGAAAGAAATTTGTGAATTTGAAGATTCAGTGAACGAAATGTACACAGAGTTTGCAGCAATTTTTTTGTTAATTGTATTCCTGGTCTCTTGTATAACATGATTCAGTTCCCACATTTTTGGAACTGAATTCAACACCTTTGCATTCTTTTCTTTAAAGTAGAAAATAATGCTTTGTTAGTTATTTGAATGTCTTTAAATGTTCAGGGTTTTCACCTATAACTGCAAGCTGAATTTTGCAATCTAGTTGCGTATTTTGAATTTCATTTTCTTGTTGCTTGCTGACGATTTGCTGTTTATTGATTAGTTGGTTTTATGTTGATTTACAGGTAACTCTTAATGACACCCACAAATGGTAACTTTTTATGTCTCTTGACTGGCTGGATATTTTAGAATTGGACTTCCCAGTTAAATTCTCACTTTTAGGAAGACAAATTAATTTTCTAGTATTCTAGCAAATATTTGTAATTTTTTCCCCATTACAGAAGTCGATAGCTAAATTAACCCAAGTTATCTGTTCACATAAGACCTGGTTGGAACTTTCTTCATTCCAAAGTAAGGTGGTCTCCTGCCTATGTTAACTTTTAGCTGAAGTAGGTTGGATACAGTGTAGACATATTTTTTATTTTGAGGAATGGCTGTGCTATATACTCTGTGCTTTCTGTTCACGAACCAAGTAAAAATGAAGTGAGTAGTAATTTGCTGCTTATCTTCTACTATCAGGAGTAAAATGATTGGATGTGTAGAGACTCTCAGTCCTTTCTTTACCTTGTCCTTGCACTGAAGCATTTACACTATGTGAAAAAGTAAAATACGTTGTCTGACTCATCTAGGTTACAAAGAAGCCTCAAAATAGTACTACAGTTCTCTTGCTTTCATCTTGCATTCTTTTAACTATTTTAAATTCAGTACAATGGAAAAAAATCAGCAAAGGACTTAAGAGCACTTGGTGTGAATAACTTAATGCAGATCTGAAAAACAATCGAAGGTTAAAACTCAATTGACTCTGACTGTGGTCCATATACAAACTATTGAACTCAAGCTGAATTCTCATGCGAGTATTAAATTGCAGCACAGCCTTGAATTGACCCTTTAGGAAGGAAACAATGCATATAATAGTGTGTTTGATACCAAGAAGGCACTACATATAAGCATGCAAGCATTTGAACTTCATGAAGGAAAAGAAAGCAGGAAAGATAAAGGCAGTCAAAAAGGTGAAGAGTGCATCTAAGAGAAGAGGAAAAAAATCACACCACGTATTGCCATCTGATTTATCTAGGTATGTTATTCTTCACCTTCAAAGTTGTCAGCAAATTACAAAGAAATAGCTGGTCCAGAACAGTACTTTAATCTGGAGTGTCTATTTGATAGAAGACCATTTCAATACTCTCAATTACCCTGATTAAATATTAGGTAGCATCAGTGTTTGACTCATGCCTTTCGCTATAATCAGCATTAAGAATATAAAATGAGAGGAGTGTTCTATTCATTCTGGCTTGCATCTTCGAATGTGTAAACAAAACCAGAATATTAATCCAAATTTATCCAAATGTCCAAAAATTATCCTATTTATCCAAAATAAATCTGGATAAACCATTCTCCTAGAAGTTGCTAAGTAAATTTTCCTGCTGTCTCTTCTAAATAATTTCTTGAATTTAGTTTCACTTAGCTATGCTTACTTTCTTAAGGGAATACAATGGCTCTCAAAATGTTTTCCCAAGATTACAGTTTAATGATACAAAGCATTTGGCAGCAGTACTCCAGCTATAATTGTTCTTGACTACTCAATCCCCAGTAGTGGTATATAATACCTCTCAGTTTGAGGATTTGATCTGGTTTTAAAAGCCTGCAAAAATGCAGGGGGTGGTGGAGAGGCAAAAACAAATAGCCAGATGTGGGAGGGTGGGAAAGGAAACACTTGGGAATTACTGAAACCGATTTCTTTATTGAGGAAAATGTCTGTGCAACCATACATCTGTAACAATATGACAAGAATTTCATACTTAGGGCACTTAGGAACATCCTAAAGTTTTGTTTGGTTTTTGAATAATGAAGATTACACATCTAATTCACACAGAAAAGACTATCAATTGTGGGCACGGGCATTCAACTGTTATTTATCAAACATTCACTGTACAGCAGTATTGGTCCCTTTCAATGTGACTTTATTTCTGCACTGGTAGAGGTTAACATTATTTTAGGCTTCGATAACATATTTACTATTATTTTGGGGATGTCTGGTGTCCCCACTGCCTGCGATTTCACTGATGTAAAAAAGAAGGGACAAAGGTTCTTGGGCGCGTGGATCTCACTGTTAACAAGATTGGAAACTACAGATCATTTTCATGCATTCAGCATAGCAACATCTCACTGATGTGTAAGAGTGTGGGATCCAGCTCATGCTGTTTGCCTGGAGAATTTTTCTGTGGAGTCCTGAAAAAAAGTAAATACAAAACAAAGCTCTTACATGCTTCACTCGTGTGTATAAGCAGGTTTTCTTTACCATCATCCTTCACAGACCATTAGCACTTATGTATCTTGTAGGGTCAATTTTTCATGTATTTTTATCTGGTATTGTAATTAATTGGACAACAGAGTTAGAGGGAACACTGACAGAGTGCTATACTGCCCAAGAGAGCAGTTTGCTTTAGGAAGACTGAATTCAGCAATTTGAAATTTTGGCTGGAGGTGTTAGTACAATTCCCATATTGTTTTGACTAATCTGCTTAATATGAACAGGTCTTTAAGAGCATCAGCTGAGTTAATATTTTTTCTTCTCATGGAAAACTTATCTAATGCTAAACTCTGAAATCACTTAAGTTCTGAAAGTTCACCAAAAGAGCTGAACCTTCAAAGGTTCAGCTGAGACAGAATTGTAGCAGCAAGAAGCAAGAGGAAACATATTTCATGGTGTAAGGTAAAGAAATTGTAGAAACAGACCATAAAATGTGTTAATGTAAATGGTAGAATGGATAGATCAGGAAAAAATTATTAAAACACTCTAAGAGATGTCTGTATGAGTCAGTCAAACCTTTTAGACTAGCAATTGATTTAGAAGTTCAAAGCAGAAATGCAGGCATTAAGTGAAGGACTTGCTTTAATGGTAAGAAAGAAGTCTAGAAGAAAATTCTGGTCCTGTCTCATCCACGGAAAACATGAGCCTTTGTCACATATGGATATTATGCAGTGTGTTTTCCTCCTTGAATTCCTTCTCATCATCAAGAGCTAAAGGCCAGCAGAAGGGAATAAAATATAATGCATAAAAGTGCATTTCATGCTTTACCTTTATACATTAATGGCTCGGTCGTGGAAATTCGCTACATGGCTCCTGCAAAAACAGAATGAAGGACTAAACATCTTGTATTTTGAGCCATCTGCAGTGCAGGTAGAATTCTGGTGTTATTTTTCATTCAGTTTGTCACCTAAATGAGATGTAGTGACTTGAATACTTTCAGATGGATGTCATGCTGCCTGAGAGGAAGATTCCAGGATGCGTAAAAGCATCTTTTTCTAATAAAACAAATATAGGTGAGTTCATTTTGACTGTAATCAGGCCTCAGTTAGGCTTTTTATACTAATTTAGTACTAATGCATTCCACCTAGAAGTTTGAGAATAGTGGTTTTATGGGTGGCTAGGCATACAGAGGCACAATTTCTGTTTTCCTATTACTTTTAAGTAATTTCAGAAACTATAAAACTACTTCTGTAGGAAGTCAGTATTTTCCTTTTGCTGTAACTCAGGTATGAGGTTGAGTAGCAAGGGCAGGTTTTATACAAAGAATCTAGTGAGAAGGGCAAAACACACAGTCTCCAAAGACTGAACAATTCTAAGTCTTGTAGAATAAATTTTAAAAGAAAGGATAAATAAAAAATAAGATGTGTTTGAGAAAGCTCTGTGATCTGCAGTCTTGCAGAATAAAGTTCAATTTAAGCAAAAAGCTTGAAGGTTTTACAACTTTTACACTGCGAGAGCATAAAAGCACAAGGATTCAGGTGCAAAAGGAATTCCAAGAAGTGCAAAGAAAAGCAGTAGATTACAGAGGCAAAAGGAATTGTGTCTTAACAAGTGCAAAGGAAAGTTACTACTAAAACTTCCTCTGGTCCAAGTGAAATTTAGAATTCAATATAAAGTAACGCTTCCTGTAAAAGTACTAATGGGAAACATAAGATGTTCCTTTTCTTGGCTGACAGAGCAGAAAAGAATCTTAGAGGACTTATTTTTTTTTGTTCTTGATGGCTAAATTGGGAGAAGAAAGGGGTAAATGTTGAATATATTGACTGAGATATCTTGTAACCTGTGAATACAGCTCAATGTACAGAACAATATGCCTTTTTTTCACTTATCTCACACAAAAAGTTTAATATTTGCTCTCTTATTTCCTTAATAAGGGTGAGTGTTACAGCCTTAAAAGTTTCCGAATGGAATCATGTGTTGGGTCTCTGTATCCTGTGGTCATCAGCTACGAGCCACTACTCATGTCGGGGTCTGACTACATTGTACTGATGCAATCGGACTATAGCACCAGGTGGGAGGATCGGTTTTCACTGGAGAAAGAAGAATGAACTACTCTAATGCACCAGAACAGTGGAGGGCTGAGCACAACAAATAAGTAGCTGTCCTTTGAAGATTTTTTTTCTTCCAGTGATTAAACTTCCTGCTCAAGTGCTCATACTATACTTATAGTGAAAGCCACTAGCTTGAAACAATTTTCTAATTTACATTGCTTCTTCCTTCCCCACCCTGCCACAGACACTCAATTTCCAATGCACTATTTCAGAAAGGAAAACTTTTAACAGCAAGGCTTATTTTATTATGGAGCTCTATTATGCTGTTTAAAAAAAATCACTAAAACATATTCTGGAACATTCTGTAATGCTACATTACTGTTACCTGATGGTCTCTACTAAATTTACTGTGACTTCACATTAACAGTGATCGCTAAACATATAATTGGTGGAAAAGAAAATTTTAAAAAATTCCACGATATTGTCAATTTGTATTAAATGCTAAAAGAAGCTTTATAAAAGCATTCTCTTGCACTAATTTTTCAGTACCCTGATCTATGTTACAGCAAAATAATCCCCTGTGGTTACAGTACTGAGTGAATACTGGAAAACTGTATATTGTTAACATTAATTTTATCTGTTTTCACATCTCAATTTGAAATGCAAGTGTAAAATCTGAAGTTACAAAGTAAATATTTAATGACTTTTTTTCATACTGTAACACCCAGGTCTTGCTGGTAAAATCAGAACTCTATTTACATTCTCATTTATTGAGATTTTTCTGTACAAAAACTATACTAAAATACTAGCTTTAATGGTATAAATTCATGCAACTAAACTGGGAAACACACAAAATAGAATTCATACTGGTGCTACCCTATCTCCTTTTTTAAAAGTTATATGTTTTACAGTAGCTTTTCTGCTTCTGCAAAAGTTTGAAGGGCTCCCTATTTTTCTTCAGAATCTAGATTGGCAGCTGCAAGTATAAGAAAGTTCCTTCTGAATATTACTGTTGGTTGGTTGCAGCTGAGAAAAACACAACAAAAAGTGCACATCCATCAGCTGCATGGTTCTGCAGTGTGGCATTAAGCAATGCCCCTTTGCCCTGAAAGCACAGGAAAAAGAAAATGGTGGGGAAAGGTGCTTTAAAATGCTTTAAAAATACTGTTGCACAACTTCAGAGCTTCTTTTTGGTTCTTGTTTCCATCAGATATAGATCAGCTTGTCTGTAGATTAGAAAATGCTGCTGCTTTTCATGAGGAGAAACCATCATTCTCCCAAGATGTGAAGGACAAATTGCAATATTCCAAAGTATGAATTTACTGTGAATATTTATTTTCAAATGAATAACATAAGTAATCCAAACTGCCCTTACCAGTTTGAAAAAGGAAAAAAAGATGCAGCTGATGAGTTTGCGAGCACATGGAGAAAACAGCAGGGCCCTTATTGAGAACACGTGTGGGTACCGCAGGTGCCAGCAGTAGCATGGCCAGTAGTGCCACTCCACAACTTGCTGCCCTGCTCAGGAACTGACCCCAGCTACAACACCCTCCCACAACACAACAAGGCAGCTGGGACCAGCTGGATGATGGAAGCCAGGGCAGAGAGACAGAAGATAATCCTGGCTTGTGGACATGGAATTGGCCTTTTGAAGTGTAGGAAGAAATTCAGCAGATGCTTCGATGTGTGTGTCAAACACGTGCTGTGGTCAACAACAATTGAAGATGAAAAGTGTAAGGGAATGTCATAATTTGGAATTAATTCTAAACAAACAAAAAAACCCCAAAACAAACATGAAAACATGAAACAATTCCTTTCACAAACCTGTTTGTGATCTTAATGTAGCAGTATCTGTTGTAAAATTAATACAGTGAGTGAAGAGATTAATTGCATTGTATTGATTTCAATTTCACTGACCTTTTATGTCCTAAATTTAAAAAAAAAAAACCAAAACCCTAAACTTTTGAAATGTTCTCAACTTCTCAGTCTCTTCTCATGTCTGTAAATAAATTTTATTCTATTTATCTCCAAAACCATTTTTCATGAATTAACAACAAACACCGAAGAGATCTTAAATTTATTAGGTGCTTTTATTGCAACTTCTATAAGACAAATATGTACTCAGAAAAACTGGACCCAGTGTATCAGACAGGTAATTTTTTCATATTAATACTTTTAATATATTCAATATTTCTATAAATTCAGATATTTTTTTAGTATGGAGTTTTATAGAAGTGTATCTGCTTGAAATCACTAAGCAATTTTTTAAAAAAACACCATACCATCAACGGTTTTCTACCACTGTTTGTAACAGACTATTTCATGGTCGGAAACTTTCTAGATGGAAGTATTTTGCATTTCAGTAAAAACCTAAAAAACTTCAAGTACCTTTCCCCAGGCAACTCTGTCTCTTACATATGTGTAACATATCTGGTCTACTTAAATTGTTTCGGTGACTGCACTGTAACAGCCTCTTCAAATAATTTATAATCTGTGGATTTATTATACGATTATAAAGTGACAAGATTTATTATATTTAAGGTGGTATTTTAAAGTAATTGATTTCATCAGTCAATTTTTGGTCCATGTAACCACTTATATTGAAGTCATTGCATTACTAATCAAGACTTCCAGTAGCAATGCATATACAGGTAACTCAGTCTTTAGATTTTCACTGAACGTGCAACATTGCACACACAAATCTGAGACACTACAACAATTACGCATTTTACACCACGGACTCAGCAGTTTATTAAAGCCTGCGTACACTAGCTACACTGGGTAAAGGGGATATCAGTCATGCCACTTTGGATTTGAACATAACAAAACATTTATTCCACAGTGGGTTTTTTAATATGAAAATCCTCTTTGCTCTTAAAATAGTTTCTGCAAAAAGCCACACAACCTAGGTCCAGGTAAAACATTCATGCCTATAAATTATATCCATTACTGGGAGAATTTTAATACAGTAGGCAGTAATTATTTTCAATGTCTCTTAAAACTTGTACCAGAAAATATACATTTTCCATAAAATCAAAAAATAAAGTATTTGAAAATGTTCTGTGATCAATCTAGAAAAACGAGCCCAGTATTAAAAGTTAAATTCTGCTTTCACATATACAATTTGAGACCAATGCATAGTATTTGTACAGGTGACAGAAGAGTTTGACTCCCTCTGCAAGATTAAAACGCAACAGCAAAGTATGCAAACTTTTATTTCACAAGTTTCACTTTGTCCTTCCGAACTTTAAATTTGGGATTGTTATTCACTTTCTTATTAAATGTGACAAGGATCTCCTCTTCTGATTTGTACTGTTCAGCAGCTACTGCGTAAAAATGAGCTATAACCTGCACAAAGACAGACGAATAGTTTTTAGTTAGTAAAGATGACTCCACTTTAAGCAGTAATACATTCATGTTACTGTATTAAAAGCAGCATAGAATCTATGATGCTATTATTTCTTTGCAGAATTAGCACTGAATTTCTTCCGTAACTCAGTAAGCAATAAAGAACCCATCCTTCAGTTGACATTCTGTCAATTGATGTTCTGCTAAATAATGTCAAACCAGGATTTTACAAACTTCAGCATTACAGAAAGAAATTCACGAGACAAAAGGAGATTAAAACCCCCAATGTTTTACCATACCTTTTTTCTTAGTCTTTTAATTGAAATTTCGTTGTCTGGAGCCTGTCTCAGAACAGCTTTGATGGTTCCGCTCCAGTTGAATTTACCTAGAAAATAATTAGGTGTACAACACTGTTAGTAAAATTAGGCATTGCCAGGTCTTCTTCTCTAGTATAGTTAGGAAGGTCCTGTCTCCTCAAGCTTAGAGCATGGGCAGTCAAATACCACCTTCAGAGGTCATTAATTGGTAGTTCCCAAATAACAACCTGTATGTTCAAGCAACAGCCTTAATGTGTTGGATGATAGGAAGAAGTAGCTTTATCCAAGCATAAACTAAGGTCTGACACATCTGAAATCCAATTTATGATTCACTGAGCAAAAATGGGGATATGAGAGATACCAGGAGCTTTTTCTTTTTCTTTTTTCCTCTGTGCTGGCTAACGTGCAGGGAAGAGACTTGTGGTGAAACAAACACACCAGGTTCCTCACTGCTCAGTGGAACCAAATGTAGCCAGAGGTTGCCAGCACAGCTGAAGCAACAACTGAGAGAAGTAATTCAGTGTCAGATGTTAAGTGTAGCACAGGCTACTTACTCTGACCTGGTGTGTATATTGAATATGCATTTATGTACGCTGCGGCACAATGTATTTCATGGTTTCCTGCAGAAGCACTGTATTTATATTCTGCATTAGGTCTTTTAGTCTAAATTAACTAAATTGTCCCTTTAAGAATACCTTTATTAGTTCCCACACTTTTTTTGTTGTCATTGGTGTTTTCGGTTTTCATTTTCTTTGTTTTGATAGGAGGTTCCTCTGGAGCTGGAATTGGATAAACATACACAAAAAAATTTAAAACTAGAAGAAAAGTTCCGACACGACTTAAAGTTCTCTTCTTCTAACATGAGTTTATATTTGCTAAGAGTTTCAGATTATACAAAAGAACTGTGCAATCACTGTTAAAAAATAATCTAATTTGTATATGCAACTTCCTACTTAAAAATTCTACTCAGGTAATTTATTAAGCTCTGGAACTGAGAAAAAGCATCTTCAAAACAAAGGAGAATATAAGTTGTATAATGAATACCTTCTACATGTTTATGTTTGCGTTTCTTTACTTTTGTTTCCTCTTCAACTTCACTCTGATGGCCATTTCCATTTGTTTCAAATTCACGTTTATGTTTGCGTTTCTTTACTTTTGTTTCCTCTTCAACTTCACTCTGATGGCCATTTCCATTTGTTTCATTCTCCACGCTCTCCTTTCCTTTCTTGGACTTTTTACTCTTTTTTACCTCTGACTGGTTTTCTAATTTCAAATCTTTTTTCTCCTTCTTTGTGTTCTTTTGTCTCTCTTCTTTTCGTTCTCTCTTATTCTTTTTCTTCTCAGCTTTATCATCTGTAATTCCATTTTCTTCTGCCACTGTTTTTTCCTCAGTTTCTGCAGACTGGCGCTCTTCCTTCCGTTGTGGTTTGTCCTGTTCTTTTTCATTTGAAATCTTTTGTTGAAAAAGAAGATTATTACAATTTTTACATGCCTTGTTTTGACACTGCAACTTTCCCCTACTACAAAATTCATGAAGAACATTAATTTCTCGAAATCAATTAAATTTCTTACATATGGTAACACCAGATACCTGAGAAATAGTACGAGTGTGTCTGATTCCTCTTTTAACTAAAGACTAAATGCTAATTAATGTCAAAGAAGAAATGTTATCTTATAACATATATAATTTTTAGTTGAAGTAAATGTCCATGTGTTTTAACATAATTGCTAAATGTAATTAAGGGAGTGACAACTCTTTGATTTACACAAGCAAAACATTACAGCAACATACAGAACCTATTCCCAAATATACAGCCCTTGAGTAATAACCTTAGTTTTGCCACCCAGTTCCCTGTCTTGGGATATGTCTGGGACAACAAACCGTTATTGCATGATGTTAACAAAGGCACTTCTGGTTGTTTTAATTTTACTTTATTCACCTTAATATATTTGGTCTTCTTCTACCATTCCTTGGCTGATAATTATTTTCTTGTTGAAGAATAAATATATTAATGAAAAAATAATATTTAATTTTAACTTTAAATTTAATAATTACTAGTGAAATACAATTACTGAAATGTTAGTGTGGCTATTTAGTAAGATAATAGATCTTTATACAAGGCAACTTAAAACCAACATGGTTTTGTAAGAAGTAATTTCAATTAAATTTGAATTCTACTTAGGAATGTCCATTGAGTACATAAAATTCAAGGTATGTTTTACAAAGAATATCTTAAGAGTTTTTTTAAGAACTCTTAAAGGTGCATTGAAATGATCTGAGCAAGAAAGCTGTGCTATATATTTTACTTTAATGCTATGCTCTATGGACAATGCAAATTGTATTTAAATAGAAGTTTTTCAGATTGAAGATTTATTTTCTTTAAAAATAAGTTTAAGTCAAGACAGAATATTTATGACTTAAATGAAGTTCTGTCGACTCAGTATTAATGTTCCAGCAAAACAATGTACTTCAAATTCAGTGTCCAGAGCTAATATTATGTTCATATCCTTTAAAAAATGTGTTTCTTTCCTTCCTGGCTCTTATATTTGGATTCTTCAGAAAAACTGCAAATAGATTTAACTGGAATCATCAAATCAGAAACATGAAACATAATCAACAGGGGATTAATGCCAAATCTATGCCTACACTCTTCCTCAAAAGAATGTGGGAGGAGAGCATCTTTACCTCAACAGAGAAATGAGCTCTGTGACAGCTTTCTAATAGAAGCAATAGATGTACACAATCACAACACCACCCTACCAAAACATGCTAAGCTAGTAATGAAATAGCAAAGAATTAGGCACTGACAAAAAGGTCAGGGTGAGTCCACAATTTGGACAAAAAAGTGGGAGGAATTTGTCATGAGCTGGAGGATCTTCTCTCTCCCCACTAATAAGATAAGTGAACTGGGTGCTGTTAATTTTTCAGTCCAATACACATAAATTTGGGTCCAATAAAGTTCTGAAAAGATATTTGATTCCATCTCAGTGTGCGCTAAAAGACTGGAACCAAAGATAAAGGTAGTGGTTTTTCCTTTCTTTATGTACTAGTAGCTTTAAAGTGAATTAGCCTTCTGATTATCATGTCACAATCGTGTCACTGTGTCCAAGTTTTCAATCACAACTTACCCAATATTCACAACTACTCCAGTGACAGTCTGTTCCACAAGTAAGCAATTCAGTCTAGAAATATTACAATATAACGGAATCCATGGTAACAACAGGAGACAATGTTTCTGCCAGCATCTACAAAAGGAGTCTGAAAGGCTTTCCTTCCAGCATTTTGAACTGCATTCTTGTTGTATGATGTTGTACCTCTAACTTAACTTACCTTTCTGGTTGCTTCTGAGAAAACATCCCACACCTGATCTTGTAAAGTGCTGTCAGTAATTCTCAAACTGTTCTTGATCCAATTCTGTGCAGGGAAAAAACAGCAATAACTGAAAATGTGCACCTCTGATTTTCTTTCTTAATTACCATATATTTGGTTCTTGGGTTTATTTTTCATTTAAGAATCTAATCACTACTTCTGACTAAGATCTGGTTACAAGTTACTGCTATGAATCTCTCAAGCCTCCTTACTAAATTGTACTATGGCTCTGTACATAATGCCTATGTACTGTTATGAGGCTACACCACTCTCTGAATTGCCTCACCAATAGCAATCCCAAAGAGGTTAAGTATATAGAGAAGATAATCCTCAAGCTTTTGAATACAACTGGTTATGTTAATGTCCTACCAAACCTTCTGACTGTTCCCATGAGTTAAAATATTAATGATCTGATCTTATTTATTTGTGTACCGGACAGGTGGTCATGCTCCTCAATGGATACCTTAGTTTATTACAGAAAAGTAAAATTTAAACAAATGTCTCGATGCAAACATTTGAAAGTTGTTTGGATTATTGCAGGAGCTCCTGGTGAAACAAAGCCATAAATTTCAACTCATCTGTTTACACTATCAGCAACAGATCAACTTTTAGAAACATGGAATTCTATATAAAACCTAATGTAAAGATTTTTGCATTGCACTGAAAATCCCAGGAAAGGTGCATTAGTAAATTGAACAATGAACTGCAAAAACATTTGATCTTTCACTGCAACATATATTACCAAAAAGAAAGCGGCTTCTTGACAATATAATTTTCCCTGCTTAGAACATTAACTTTCTAGAAAAATATTTTAACCTTCAGCTCACTAGCAGCAATTTCACCACAGCTCTATTAGGTTCTATTTCAGTGCTTTGGGAGCAAGTGTGATCTTCTCTCAGCCTCACCATCTGAGGCACAAAACAGAGAGTGGAAAACAAAAAAGGCAGCTTGTCAGTAATTCTTTACTGATACCACATGAAACATTTGGAATTTACTTTAGTGAAGCATGCAGTGTGGAAGATTCTGTCAGAATACTGAGTAACAGGAAAACTCTCAAAACAGGATCTTGCCTTCACCAGGGAAAAACAAGGCCAGAGAAATAAAAAATCTTTAAAAGTATGTCTAAGAATTTGGACATTCAATAGAAATTGGAAATAGGGAAAAAAGAAAGGTATTGAAAAAAGAACAATTTAAAGATTATGCTTAAATGGTGAGTCTCTGGCTTAATACCTAATTAAACTGGCACACAAAGAGTCCTTTTAAGCGCGGAAATGTATTTTACAAATATTGCCTATTTGAAAGTCAGGCATTACACCATCTATACCAATGCCCAAATAAGCAATGTGTCCCGCCTTTGTTAAAAGAGAGTAGCACTTCCTAAGAAAGTCTATTTTTAAGCTTACTGCATGGATTACTACAAATCTCCATTAAAACATACCTGAAACTTTACTTTTTTTCTTGGAATGTTATCAAAGGCACGCATCTGCTCCAGGATGTTCCGCACTTTAGGGCTTATATTTGGCTTCTTCATGACTTCATGGATTTTCTAAATAAGAAAAACAGAATTAAATCAGAAAAGCAGCATAAGGATCAAATGGTACATCCAAGGTGTGCAAGTTTGAAGTGCACTGGAGAGAATCACCCAGCACCCACAGCTGGTATAGTCTGTTCACAGGAAATGTTCAAAATGCATGAGAAAAAGACTGATCTTTGGTTTAATCACAGATCATCAGATGTGTCAAAGTTACCTATCTAAGCATTTATACCTATACAGTAAGCACAGGCAAGCAGGACTGCTCACCAGTGCTTTCTGATGTACAAGTTACAATCTGTAATAAATACATTTTAAAGTAAAGAAACTGTACCATATTAGGGATTCTTGCAGCATGAAAAAGACCTTTATTAAGAAAAGCAATTGTCAACTTATTGGTTTTTTGTAAGCTTCTGGAGTTAATTGTGAAAAATCAGGCTTACTTAGATGCCACAGTTTGATATGCTTTTCTTTTGGCAGCAGTGCCAGCTTCTGCAACTATTAATCCCTGTAAGACTGTTCAGGATATTCCCATGCTATGGGTGTCAGCACAAGAGAACAGAGATTAGGCCAGGGCAGTTCCTCATGGCAGTTCCTTGAACAGCACTGCTGCTTGTGGGGGTGAAAAACAGCTGAGCTTCCTGGTGCTTAAAGACACAGCCACTGGACACTGGAGAGTCTTCCTGTACTAAGGTTTTGTGGATGTGTTAAGACTATTGGAAAAGGGTGTTTGGTAATAATCCCTCAGCTTTCTGTGTAGGAAGAACTTACTTCTGAGGCAGGCTTACAATGTTCATGAGCAATAGCTCTCACATCATGCTGCCTTTAACAATGTCCTCAAACCATGTTCAATCTCAACCACTACTCATCTTTGACTGTATTACTCATATACCTTGCGTGTGTGTGTAGCTTAGTACCTTGTTAGATTGTGTTCTATACAAGATAGAAATCAACAAATCCATGTATGAAGGTGATTAACTTGTTACTAATGGGGTTTTAAAAATGTGTTTGAGTTCCTTCCACAAATCAACGAATAACCTTAAGAAGGCAGATTCTTGCACAAGACAGAAAGGGTATTAAACATTTTCATCTGTGCTGGAGCCTCTCTTGTTCAACATATTTACAAAATATCTGACGAGGACAGGAAAATTTTCCTGATGATTGTGAAGCTATTCAGGATGAGGACTATAAGGATTGCAGAAAGATTTTAAGAAAATGAGTGACTAGGTAATAAAAGGGTAAATTACAGCCAACACAAATTCATGTAAAGCAGGATGCAAAGGAAAAGCAATCTTAACTTCACATCTAAAATGGCAGGCTTTAAGTTGATCGCTGGAGCGTAGACACAAGATCTTGGGTTTAAAATAGCCAATTCCATGAAAATGCCAGAACAATGATCAGCAGCAGCAAAAAAACAAAACAAAAAACCAAAAATAGGTTGACTGGCAAAAATCACTTTGAAAGATACAAAGAAGGACACAGAAAACATCATTATGACACACAGTAAATCTATGGTTCATCCATATCTTGAACTCTATTTCACAAACATACAGTAGAACTGGGAAGACTTCAGAAGACCAAAGAGATAACTTACATATGAAGAACAACTGAGCAGGGTAGAATTTCTCAGCCTGGAGCACACACTCAGTGTGCAACTGAGAAAACTACATTAAATCAAACTAGTAAGAGATAAATTCAAAACGAACAAAAGATACATTTCTTACCAGGATAAGCAAAAGACCTACCTAAGACATGCCAAAAGAAATTTGAGGATATTGGGAAAAACAGATCTCTGGTTTGATCCAGTATAGCCTTTCTAGTGTCTGTAACGATTATAAACAATAGTTATTTATCATATCTGTATATAATACAAACTTACCTGAATCCACTCCTGCTGTTTGGCATCTCCTTTGTTAGTTTTGGCTTCAAAACCTTTTCCGCCATATTTCTGGTCTTCACTTACGCACTTCACATGTTCCTTATAGTCATCGCCCCTGAACATACGAGATTTTTAACCATAGGTCACAGAGATGCTTCAGTCCTTTCAAACGTGCAACACCTAATCAACAAATTCAGTATGTTCCAAAAGCAACATTATTGCCAATTTCACTCTCTCTGCAGTAGCAGAGTAAATAACAGTTGTTGATGATCAGAAGCTGAAAGCTCTGTCGCTGATGCCTGTTTTCTGTTGAGGTTTAGTTGTCTATGAGGTTCAGACTTGGATGATTAAGCCTAAATTTCTATAAAAACATGTATATTTTTAAATACAAATATTATTATTCAGGCATAGCTACATTTAATTCTAAAAGACCACAGAAAAAAACTTGTATTTGTGACAACCTCTGCATAGTGAGAAAAGCTATTTCACATCCTTTACCTACCAGAAATCCTTGCCACAATCCATGCAAGACAGGCACTGACAGTTTCTGCAGATGTTCACATGCTTTTCAACCTGTGCTTTCTTCACAGCTTCTCCACATGCATTGCATGTGAAAACTACCATGTTGGCGAGTGGTCAGGAGCTTCCAAGAAGTGGGTATAACCTCCTTCCTCCACATACAAGCACAACCCTAGAAACACAAAGAGATCTTACACTTACGGCTTGAAAAAAACACGTGGGTGGCCGAAAAGCACCTGCATGTGCACCCACCCACAGACGGGGCGAGCAGTCCCATCCTGCAGGTGCAGGAGCTCGCCTTGCCTGACACCCTGAGCACAGGGGAGAGCAGCGACCCGGGAACCAGCACTCCCAGTACTCACCACCGCAACCTGGGAACCAGTAACCCCCAAACAAGGAACCAGTAACCCCTGTACCCGCCACCCCAAACGAGGAATCAGCAATCCCTGTACCTGCCATCCCAACCTGGGAACCAGTGACCCCCAATCCAAGAACCAGTGACCCCCACACCCACCACCCCAAATCGGGAACGAGTGACCTCCATATCCATGACCCCAGCCCAGGAACCACTAAACCCCATACCCGGGAACCAATGACCCCCCATTACCACCCCCCAACCAGGGAAACAGTAACCCCCAACCCAGGAACCAGCAATCCCTGTACCCGCCACCCCGATCCGCCTCCTTTTCCAGGCACGACCTCCCCCGGCCCTTCCGTCCCGCTCCCCTCAGCAGACCCGTCCCGACTGGGTCCAGGCGAGCGGCGCTGCCGAGAGGTGGCCCGGCCACACGGCGTACCCGCCACCCGCGCTCCTGGCCAGCAGCCGCTGCTGCCGTGCCGCCTCTCCTGCTCCTGCTCCTGCTCCCTCTCCCATTCCCGTTCCCGTTCCCTGCACCCCCGCACCTCAGCGGCCGCCGCCGCCTCCCGCAGCCGCCCCGCGCGGCACGTGCCGCCGCCCCGTTCCCGCCGCGCCTCGGCCCCGCTCCGCCCGGCGCCTGCGCCGCCCCCGCCCCGCCCCGCGCTGCGCGGCGGAACGGGAAGGGCAGGGGCAGGGAAGGGGAAGGGAAGGAGCGGCGGCGGAAGTGGCCGGTGGCGGGGATGGAGCTGGGAGGTGGCCGGAGCCGGTAAGCGCTGGGCTGGGCCGGGCCGGCTCCCGCCCCTCGGCCGCTCTCCCGCCTCAGCCGGGCGGCGCCGCGTCCCCCCCGCCCGCAGCCCCGGCCCTGCGGCGGCGGCTGCTCCGACACCGGCCAGAGCCCGCTCTCTCCCCTCGGGGCCCTCTCCCCTGTACCCTCTGTGCCTTTCTCCGTGCGACACCTCGAGCCTGAGCTCAGCTGGGCCAGGCTTAATCATACTTACACATCATAAATAGCGACTGTGTTGCGGGGGTTCCCCCTGTTCGGGAGCGGCTCTCCATGCTCGCCTTTCCCGCTGGGAGACAGGCACCTGATGGCTGAGAGGCAGTTCGCTGGTTGTCAGAGTATTTGCAGGATGCCGTGGTGGGAGACGTACACAGAGAAAGCAACTGCTTGGCAAACAGATACGGTTTCTTTATTTGAAAGCCTGGTAGAAGACGTGATAAACGTTCATAGAGAAGAAACACAATATAATAGCCCACAATGTAATACAGCAGGAGGCAGTGAATCACAGAGTAACAGGATAAACTAAAAAGTGGAACCTTTGGTCCTCATGAGAATTGAGAACGGGGCAACCACTTTCTGGTCATGTTTAACCCAAGGTGGTCTTTCTGCTTCATTAGTTAGAAGGGTAGAAGTTCCAATTGTCCTAATAGTCGGAGTTCTCATTTACAAGTGTTCAGGGGAAGAATTACATCTTTCTTTAGAAAAAAAGATGTATAGAATTGAATGTAAATATGTTTAGTGTATTTTCAATATTTTCACTTGTATTTTCAATCTCTTCAAAGAAGGATTTTTTTCATTTGAACATTATATTGTATTAAAAAATAACTATGTCTAATCAGAGCCACATGGGAAATGTGTTTAGCTAGGACAGCAACAAATATGTCTTCAATAATACTAGTTCTATATTCTCCCCTTTCGGTTTAGAGGGTGAGGAAACCGAGGTTTACCTTTACAGATGATATTAATTTTGCAGGCATGATGTGTTTTTGCCTTAGAATCTAGTTCTTGTCCAAGTTGTCTAAATCAAGGTGTGATTTTTTTCTGGTTATGGAGTTCAATTTATTGGCAGCACCATTAGATTTTTGCAGAAGCTCTTTGTTGTAAGCAAAACTTCATTAAAATCAGTATTTCCTATGTATATTGCTGTGCATCTACAGGTGAGCAGTACTGGGACTCATCTTTAATCAGAAAAATGTCATTAGAGCTCACATTGCAGGTGTAAACTGTAGTCTGTTTCCTTTGGAAGCTAAAACAAATTGTGAAAATGTTCCTAATATTTTAAATTAATTTTGCAATATAATATTTAAAATTCATCTTAGCATTTTATTTCATTGTAGGTAATTTAAGTGATTTTCTAGCATGGACACTGTTGCTAGCCATAGTTGTCATCTTCTCCAGCAGCTACATGAACAGCGCATTCAGGGGCTTCTCTGTGACTGCATGCTGGTGGTAAAAGGTGTATGCTTCAAAGCACACAAAAATGTATTAGCTGCTTTCAGTCAATATTTCAGGTATGTGATAGAAAATTCTTCTTTTTAAAATGATAATTAAATGCTGTTGCTTGAGGTTTTCTTTGAGAAGGGTATTTTTTTCTGGTAGTTGCAGAGTAAAGTAACTGTTGGGAATATAATGAGAAAAGGGAAATTGTTTGCCCAGAGATAAATCTGTGTCATCGGTATTCATACTATGAATCTGTCAATCGGTATTCATGCTGTGCTGTTGGATTGTTGGCATTTTCCTGATCCTTACTTGCTTTTAGTGCCTCATATAACGGATTCTGGCATAGACCTGCATTCAGTATTTCAGTAAGGAAAGATAACTGCTTCGAAGGAACATAGCAGAGTACATGAACAGAGCCAGATAAGGGATATAACTGATGAAACGTTATTCACTTCTGAATAATGTGACTTGTTTCATCAATCATATATTCAAAATAAAATTTGACCATATAGGTTATTATCAAATCTCTGTTTAGAACAGATTCTCAGAGATAACAACTGTGTTTTAAAGTATACAGGTGACCCATTATGCCATATTGCTGGTTTCTTTCCCTTCTGTGATGCCCTCAATTGACCCTCCAAATTTTGGAGGATGCTGGATCTTCTAACTTAGTGTTTTACATTACTTATGAGTAAACTGTTAGATCTGGCAGTTTTTAGACCTTGTTTTTTGAAGCATCTCTAAAGTAAGAAAATTATTTCTATGTTACAACCAGGGAAAAAAGATAAGAGGTTCCTTTTTCTCTTCTAGTGGTGTTATCCTGCTGATGAAGTGCAATTATGCTCAAAGACTGAATTTTTTAAAGTAGTTAAAAAGAACTAAGCACTCAACTCCTATTAAAATTCAATAGGATATAAGTGGCTAATTAATTTAGACTCTCAACCCAGATCTGTTCATTATAGTTCTGGTTTTAATTTAGATAGGATGGTCTCGATTTCTGAAAGAATTTTGATATGGGCATTGGCTTCAGAGTAGCCTCTGCATTTCTAAAGTTAGGCATAGGGTCTCATTTCCTTAAGATTTAGAGCTCATTGATATTATGCCCACCTTTAAACAAAACCTAATTTGAAAGTTGGGCCACAAAGAGGAACCATCAAGTTTGGGGCATTTTGTAGCGAGGAAAATAACTACATAGGAGTGACCTGACCCAGTTTGTTTATATGTCATTGTTTGCTGTGAGGGTATCAGGTTAGAGACTGGGGATTTTAATGGGAGGGCGTGAAGTTCTTGATTGAGACAGAGTATGAACCCACTTAATCTAGGACTAGTTGTGAATGTGAAGAGCTACAGCTCTGAATGCGAGAATACTTTACATCAAATAGTAAGTTTTGTGAATTCATTCACTTCAATGCTTTAGTGACAATTCAGTGGGTATTGGTTGCACTGTTGGTTTAGGCTTACGTACTTGTGCTCTTTATTATTCTTTTACTGGGTTGTCATCTAATGCCAGTAAAAAAAGTACTTCTTTGGATATGAGATAATAGATTGAAAATAATGCCATCTTCTTGCTTAATGTCGCCATCCTCCTGTGTATTTGTGGTGAAAGAACTAATACTAAGAACTTTAATAAGATTTACTGATAGAGTTTGATGGACAAGCTCAGTTGCCAGAAGAGTTTAGCTGACTTGGAGGTGTTATCTTCTCCCTTTTACTAGCAAATTTCATATGTCCTGTTTTTATTGCCATGATGAAAGGAGAAACACCATTCTAAGTAAAACAATTTTTGAAAATTGTCCGTAAATACTCCACTGCACTTAATATGTGAATAACAGTGGATAGGAAACCACGAGGACAGGGTGTCATTTCAAAACATTAAAAACCACAAAATTGAAATTATATATGGATCCTTTGTTTTGATTTATACTTTAAGTGCACTAATGTAGGACTAATATATGACAAGTAATTGAGACATTTTGAGACTGTAAAAATACAACACTCTAGGTAAGGCCCTATAGTATAAATTGTTTCATACCAGACAGTCTATTTGAGGTGTATGTGTATTTTTCTTATTAAAGTGCCTGTGAATAATTTCTGTTTGTATTTGAGTATTTGCCTTATTTTATCAGGACCCTTTTCCAGAATTCTTCAGGCCAGAAGAACGATGTGTTTCACTTGGACATTAAAAATGTAGGTGGCATAGGCCAGATCTTGGACTTCATGTACACCTCTCACCTGGATCTTAGTCAGGACAATGTACAAGCTATGCTGGACATTGCACAGTGTCTCCAAGTGCAAAATGTGCTGAACATTTGCCACACCTTTTTAAAATCTTCTACAGCTGTAGAGCAAGCAGCCAGCATGCCTTGTAATAGTGTATTTTCACTGCAGAATACTTTGGCTACGGATGGGAGCTGTGCCAGTGACGGTTATGGGACAAACCTGTTGCACGAGTGCTCATCTGACACACAGGCCAATAAAGTCTTGGCTGACCACCATTCTCATGCATCGCAGTCTGTTAATCTGCACACATCCCCGGGGGATGCACAGAAACAGCCACAAGACTCCTTAGATGGCACCTGCGCAGAGCTTCCATTTAAACAACCAAATTACTATTACAAACTACGCAACTTTTACAGTAAACAGTTCTACAAACAAAATGCTTGCTCTGATCATGAGAGAGGAGCAGAACCATCCTTTTCTTACAACACATCCACAGAAATAAACACAGTGGAGAA